CAGCGAACATAGAAGTGTCTGGCTTCTGGGGACGCTATAACTAAGCCACCACTCCTGCCTCCTCCTGGCCAGCACCCAGGACGGGGCTGGCACATGGATACGTGTCAGCGATAGGGCCCCCTCTGTGTCGAGGCCCAGCTGGCCCGTTAGAAGGAAGAGGGACGCTAAATCATTAATACTGATAATATCTGGCATCTGTTGTGTTCTTACTGTGTGCTCACGATAACCTCGTGAAGTAGGTAGTAGCAATACCCCATTTTACAGAAAAGAAACCAAGAGTCACATACATTCAGCCACTTGCCCAGCCTGGTGTCTCACGTGACTGAATCCCAGGCCATCGAAATCCAGAGCCCACCCTTCCGACCAGAGACGGGAAGGTCAACTGATCCAACTGGCTGACACTCATGTGCCTATTACAGAAACCCTGGGGGGCGGTGAGTGCTCTCTGCCCTGCCCGCTGTCCTGTCCAGGTGATGAGCTGGCTCAGCACTGACCTCCAAAGTTCCAAGCTCTGTGCGGGATGCAGGGGACCCCGGGGTACAAAGGCGCCACCTCTACAGAGCGGTGTGTCAACAGTGTCCTCGGGACTCTGATGGGAGCGTTGTTTAGGAAACCATGTGACTTCAGAGGTTGAAGGGTGAAGGCTCCCCAGAAGAGATACTGAGGGAGATAGTTCTAGAAAGACAGGCTGGAACTCACCAAGTGAGTGAGGGAGGTTCGAACCACGGTTCTCAACTGGGCATGGTTTTGCTTCCCAGGGGACCTTTGTCAATGTCTGGAGGTATTTTTGATTGTCACAACCGGGGCGGGGGGAGGGTGACACCTAGTGGGTAGAGTCCAGGGATGCTACTAAACATCCCACCATGCACAGGACAGCCCCCCACGACAGAGAATTATACTGTCCAAAAGGTCAACGGCCCTGGGTGGGGAGGGACGGGCGCTCCAGGGCAGTGATCAGCCCGTGCGAGGCAGCCCCAGACACGCCCCCGGTGGCTCCTTCCTGGGTGCAGGGCCCTCGAAGCCCAGATCCGCTCTGCACCAGCAGCGCCCACGGCTTTTAAACATAAAAGCTTTATAGAGCTCTAATTCGCACGCCATTTAAAGTGCACGCGTCAACCGCTTCTACAGTTGCGCGACCATGACCACCATCCAATGCCAGAGCAAGTCCATCGCCCCACAGGCTGTCACTCCCGCCACTCCCGGACCCAGCGCCAGGCGACCGCTCATCCGTTTCTGTCTCTGTACGTGTGCTTATTCTGGACGCAGCGAATCGGTGGACGCGTACGCCATGTGGCCTTTGGTGACGGGCGTGTTTTATTTAGCATGATGTTTTCGAGGTTCATTCATGTCGTAGCACGTGTCAATACTTCGTTCCTTTTTATGGCCAAAATAATGTTCCGCTGCGTGGAGGGGCCACAGTTTACCTGCTCATCAGGCGATGGACACCTGGGTTGTTTCTGCTCTTTGCGCAATTGTCAGTAACGCTGCTATGGACGCCGGTGGACGGGTTTTTGCGAGGACATATATTTCCGCTTCTTTCGGGTGTGCAACCTAGGAGCAGAATTACTAGGTCACGTGACAACGCCATGTTCCACCTTCTGAGTTCCTGCCAGGGAGTTTTCCGAAGCGGCTCCGCCGTTCCGCGTTCCCGCCGGCCGTGTGGTCGGGCCCCTGCTTCTCCTCGTTCGTGCTACTTCTCCGGCTTTTGGATTCTCGCCACCCTAGTGGGCGTGAAGTGGTGTCATCGTGGCATCTGATTTGCATTCCCCTGATGGCTAATGAATGTGAACATCTTGTCGGGTGCCTGTTGCCCATTTACGTATCTTCTTTGCAGAACCGTCTATTCAGATCAGAGTCGTCCTTTCAAATTTCGTTGGGTCGTTCCCTCACTTAGACTGAAGTGCAAACCCCACAGAAGCTGTACGCGATCGGGCCCTGCCCACGCCTTCTCTCCTCACCCACTCTGCTCTGGCCACAATGTCCGCGAAGCGGCAAGCTGGTCCCTGCTCAAGTCCTTTGCATGGCTGTGTCCTCTGCCAATCAGCGTTCGCACGGCCTCTCTGGGGTCTGCCTTACCCGGGCTTTCCCTGTCAGCTCAGTCTCAAGGGCTGCGACCCCCAGCTTCTTCCTAGCACATCTGAAAGTTCCTTTTGATCTTTTTTTTTTTTTTTTTACTATCTGTTAAGAGCTGAAAGAACTGGGCTCTACACGTGACTACACCGGTCATCACTGTGTGAACCTAGGCAAGCCGCTGCCCCTCCCCGGGCCCCAGCTGCCCCATCTGAAACCAGGCGGGGGCGTCTGCTGCCTCTCCCGGGTCCTTCCAGCTCCACCCTTCTTTGATGCTGGCTTCTTTGATGCGGGCGCTGCCAGGAGGGCGTGGGCCTGCGCTGTGGCAGGGAGGGAAAGGTAGCTGGAGCCAAGCTGGTCACGGATCAGAGCAGGCGGAGCGGCTGATTGTGGCCAGCCCGGCCCCGTGGGTTCAGTCTCCAGGCGCACGTGGCCGCCCTGACCTGGCTCCCAGCCTCCAAAGCAGCAGAAAGGAGAGTCGACCGCTCCAGCAAGGACTGGACATCGCGGCCACTCTCAGCCCCGGGAGAAAAACCTTCTCACCCCAGGATCCTCCCTGAGTATGTGGACAGTGAAAGAAAGGGCGAGACTCTCTGGGTGGCCGGAGCACAGAGCGTGCGACGGGAGGAGGGGACAGGAAGCTGGACGAGGAGGGACAGGAAGCTGGACGAGGAGCTGCAGGAAGCGGGCTCCCAGGTCTGGCCGGCCCCGTGCTGAGTGGGTGCGCGTCACGTGGCCTGCTCACACCCACCGAGCTCTCAGGAAGCGCCGGGCCTTGAGGCCCATGTGCCCACCTGTCCCTCACAGCAGTCAGGTAAGGCAGGGACTCTCATGACCTCCGTCCCTCCAGCTGAGGCACATCGAGCAGAGACGCCAAGGCACTGCTCCCTCCGGCCACCACAGAGACCAGCAGTGGGACTGGAATGTAACCCAGGCAGCAGGCTCCAGAAGCTTCTTGCTCTTGACCCCTACAAGCCTCTTGACACCCTGGCACAGCTGGCATTATTACTCCCGTCTCGCGGGAAGTTGAGCTCGAAGCACAGTCGCCTGGCTCAAGTGGCCTCTGGTGAGAAGCAGAGCTGGGAGCAGGACCAGCGTGGAGGCCGTGAGAGACTTTCTCATCAGGGGCCTAATGGCCAGCACGACGGTGGCAGGCTAGGAGGACAGCCTCCGAAGCCAGCGCGGTCCCATCGGGCCTTGCAGACTGTCCAGGGCTGACCGCGAGCCGCCCCCGCGCTCGCCGCCCTCCAAGGTCCTGTGTTTTGCGAGGCTCTTGCAGGGCTCCCCGTCCGGCGGCCTCGGGCCTTCTCTCACAGGAAGGGGGCGACCTGAGATCCAGCATCTCTGAGGAAAGACCAGAAGATGGCCGGGGTGGGGGGGTGGCATTTACTGAGGCGCCGCCCGCCCCAGCACCGTGCCTTCACCCTCCCCGTTTCATGAGTGGGGAAACCGAGCCTCACAGGGGTTCCTGGCCCCTTCCCATGAGTGCGGCTGGCGTCCCGAGGTGGCTTGCGGGGTCCTGGACGCTCCCCTCCGCAGCACGGGCCGTCTGCCTTCCTGACAGGGAGGGGGTTGTTGGGGGGGCTCTGCCCACAGCAGGAGCTGTGAGGAGAGCCGCCAGGTTGGTGTGTGCGTGTCCTGGGGCATGTGTTTTCAGGGTGACCTATCCCAAGGAAGTGAACCTCGTGGTGACTGCAATGATAAAGCAGCTCCTTTTGCATAAACGCAATCACTTTAAGGGGAAAAAAAACAAAAAAACAAAAACAAAAAACAAAAAATGCAATCACTTTAAGGGGAAAAACAAAAAACAAAAAAAACACCAAAAAACAAAAAACGTTAAGTAAAAGGAAATAGCACTGGTATTATTTTATGAGTTTGGCAAAAATCTGAGGGTGGGACAGGAGGAGCTGGGAGACACGGGGCCGTGGGCCCGGCAGGCTGTTGCAGGGTGGACGGGACAGGCCTCTTCCCACTTCCGACCAGCCGTGTAGCCTCAGCCTGGGCGCTGGACCTCTCTGAGCCACATTTGCAAAATGGGGTACCAACGGGTGCCCGGACTGCTCCACCGAGTTCTCCCGTCAGACTCCAGATGAGCTCGTGGGCACGTGGAGGCGCCGTGGACGTGCGGGAGGGGGCGGGGGATTACATAAGATAATCAGCATGCATAAATGTTCCTGGCGAACGTTAGAAGTTTGCTGCTGATATCGTTAAGGTGACAAGGTGACCCAAAGGCTGAGGACTTTGGCCGGTAAGAGCAAGCCGTACCTTGCTGGAAGGGCGACACCCTCCTGGACTGAGGTCAGGGGGAAGAACAGGGAGAAAGGAAGCCATGGTGTCTGTGGGGACAGTTCTAGTGCCCGGGGCGGGTGGCAGCAGCGGCGGCTGCTGCTGGAGGTGAAGATGCTGCTGGTGACGGTGACGGTGACAGCCCGGTGGCGGGCCTGAGGGCTGTTACCACAGGGAGGTGAAAACCCAGAAAACGAGGAGCTCTGCAGGGCTGCCCAGAACAAGGGACCTAGACTTATTCTCTGGGGGCTTAGCTTTTTGGGAACCTACAGAAATATCTGCAGACCACCAAATTGCAAGGAATACGTGTTTAATCGGCAATCAACAAATGTAACCCGATGACAGCTAGTCAGGGGCAGCTCAATATGCTCAATGGCTACATACAAATTATATTTTCCATGCAACGTGCATGTGTTACGATGTATTTGCTCTGCAGCAGGGTAAGAGTGTATAGTAGGGGTCTACAGTGGCTTTCGGTGGCTGTGACTGATTGACAAACACTTCGTAAGACAGTGAGCCCCCCGCCATGGGAGGTATGCGAGGGGAGAGGGGGGCTGCCTCTCTGGGATGTCGTGGGAGGGGTGACCGCCGAGTTTTGCTTCTACCCAGAGCCCTCCTATTTTAATATTTCAGGGTCTCCTGACGCCTTCCCTCCCACCCCGTCCACACATACACACACACGGTTGCCGGAAGAAACTTTTGAGCTGCTAAGCCCATCTCCTCACCTTTCTGCTGGGACGTTGAAGGTATGAAACTTGTGAGAAGTAGTACAGCAAGTCGGAGCCACCCCAGGGACTCACACGCAGGGTCTGATTCCCAGCCGTGTCCTTCCCATCCTGCCCCCTGGTGGCAGAGTGTTGGGCCCCCCAGGCAAACACCGGCAATCTAGGGTCTCACCTCCCCCAGAAGAACCAAGACAGAACTTTCATTTGGCCCAGCCCAAGCCCTGCCCTGAACACCCCTTCCCCAGGCCTCCCCCACACTGGCCAACCCATGGCTGGCGGTGGACTCTGGCCAAGTCGCAAAAGACATAAACCTCCATCTCCTCATCGATGAGACGGACGTGAGTGACGGTGCCCGCGTGACAGGGCGGTGGCAGAGCTCAGACATAAGGTGTGCAAAGTGCTCCGAACACCGCCTGGCACCTTCCGAGTGCCCGGCAAATGGAGCATCATGCTGTTACGGCGACCGTTTTGATGTGCATTTACTCAGTCCCATGAGTGTTAAGTGCCTGTCGGGGTGGAGGCTGCGCTCACAGCACTCGGACGAGCAAGGACAATGCCAGGGAGAACACATGCTCCGCAGAGGGCCCAGGGGAGCGGTGGGGGAGCTGCCTCTGGGGGTCAAGCAGGGCCCCCTTGCAGAACCGACATCCGTGCCCTGGTACAAATGTCCAGGTCAGTGGCAGATCGCGGGCAAGATGGAGTGTCAGCGTGTCCGAGGCACTGGAGCAGGGTCGGTGTGGCCAGGTACCCACGGAGGCCTGGGGGTAACGCAGGAGGTTGGAGAGGTGGGGTGCAGGCCCCGCAGGGCTGGGCGAGCCAAGAGGGGAGTAAGACCGGGCAGCGTGGACGAGATGGGAGGAGGCTGGCGGCAGCAGGGAAGCCAGTGCAGAGCGGTCACCAAAGTCCCGGCGAGAGACCGTGCTGGCTTGGCCAGGACCCGGATGTGGCAGCGGCCAAGGAGAGTAGCCGCACCCAAGACAGGGGCATCTCAGAGGCAGAGCCACCAACCTTGCGGACGGGTTGGATGCAGGGATGAAGGCAAGACGGAAGTCAGGGATGATGCCCTGGTACTCAGCCTGGGCGCCCAGGCGGGCGAAGGGGAGGCAGAGGGCGGAGAAGGGGGTTGGGGGTCCTCGCCCAAACCCACGCTTCACGATCTGCATGCACTTTGTGCCCACGACACCTCGAGCAGGCAAACCCGTGGAGCCAGAAAGCAGGGCGGGGGTTGCCAGGGGGCGTGGAAGGGGTTGGGGTCAGGGACAGGGGCTGTGACAGCTGACGGGTGTGGAGTTGACTTTTGAGGGGGATGAAAATGTTTTGGAGCCAGAGAGAGATATTGGTTATAAAGGTTCTGAATGCTGCCGAACCGCACGCTACGAAATGGTCCGTTTTATGGCTTTCGCCTCAACCGAAAAAAAAAAAAAAGGAGAAATAGACTCTCGGACAAACAATAACTAAGGGGATTTGTTGTCCCCAGAGGTGGCCTCAGAGAATGAACCGGACCAGATGCACGTATCAGGGTGGGGCGGACGACGACGCACACTCAGAGGCCACGGCCGGGCCT